TAATCTACTTCACAATATTCCTTATGGGAACAAATTCAGTCAGTACTGGCACCTGAACATACTTCTGGAGTGAAAAAATATCGTTAACCGGGGTCCACTGTATTGGCAAAGCGCTCCTGCGTCATGTTGGTAGAGATATTTCATTTCATGCTCTCAAGAGCGGTACGCGCATCGTCACTGTCCAGAATGCTACCCAAGCTCATGATCGTTCTCTCTTGTAGTGGTACTGTCATTCTGCCCCATACCATAGTCCAACAATTTCCAGTCATGTGGCAATGACATTCTTGAACAGCTGGAACTCCAGGATCTCCCAATCCTCAAAGTAGACACTTATGTCCTTCCTGCCCGTGGGCGGAGACGTTACCCTTGCAATGTGGCTCGTTTAACTTTTGACAGCCGAGAACTCCCGTCCTCTGTATATGTCGCGGGATATCGGTTACAAGTTCGAAAGGTGATACCTACACCGCAACAGTGTAGAAATTGCTGGCGTTTTGGTCACCCAGCGAAATATTGCAGATCTATAGCCGAATGCCCAGTCTGTGGTGCCGACGACCATTCTAATACATCTTGCAGTCAACCTCCATCTTGCCTTAATTGTAATGAAGCTCACCCTTCGTACTCCCGCCGTTGCCAGGTCTACTTAAATGAACGTGAAATCCGTTGCCTCAAAGAGGCAGAAGGTCTCCCTTATGCTATGGCAGTTACTCATCTCCGCCTCCAAGGGAGACTACCCCGTGTTTCTTATTCTCGTGTTTCAAAACATCCCCCGAATTCTGGGGTCCCATCTTCTGCAGCCTCCTCTGTTGTTACCCCTCCCATAGCCACTCCGGCATCTAATCCTTTTGCTGTCCTTGGCTCTGACGTCCCGACTACACCTCAGTCTGTTCTCACATCTTCGCGTCCTTCCTCACAAGCCCTTGGATGCTTTACTTTCATAGTTCCTTGATAATGTGAGTAGTCACGAAAGCGCTTGGAATTTCTCTATTCTTTCAGAGTGGTTGTTTTGCAATATGTTCTTTATATCTCTCTCCTTCTCGAGCATTTTCTATCCCAGACTTTGCCTTTCTTGTTTCATCCTTACCACGACCACTTCTGTTACTTGGTGATTTTAACGCCCACCATTTCCTCTGGGGGGGTCTCATTGTGACTCGCGTGGCATCCAGTTGGAGGCTTTTCTCGCCTCTCACCCCCTCCATGTTTTAAATATGGGTACTCCCACCCATTTTGATCCTCGTACTCATACTCTCTCTTGCATCGATCTATCAGTCTGCTCTTCCTCCACTGCACTAGACTTCACCTGGTCTGTTCTACCAGACTTACATGACAGCGATCATTTTCCAATCATTCTTACTTCTCCTTCATACTCACCACCTTTCCGTAGCCCTCGCTGGCAATTTGATCGGGCAAATTGGGACCTTTACTCGCAGCTCACTGCTTTTAGTGAGGTTCCTTCTTCATCCTCCATTGATGAGCTCCTACACCTCTTCTCGACGTCAGTTTATGCCGCAGCTTCTCATTGTACACCCCAAACCTCAGGCAAGCATTCTCAGAAGTGCGTGCCTTGGTGGTCTCCTGCTTGTGCTTGTGTAGTACGTTTGAAACGAGCTGCATGGGGCAGGTACCGATACAATAGAACCAATGAGAGACTTATTGATTTTAAGCAGAAGCGTGCGATCGCTCGCCGTGTCATCCGTGATGCTAAACGCACTTGCTGGCGAGACTGTTTCCACCATCACCTCTGCTTCCTCTATGAGTGCAGTCTGGAAAAAAGTGAGGAAATTGAGTGGCAAATACTCTCCTGACCCGGCTCCTGTTCTACGGGTTGCCGGTATTGATGTAGCAAACCCTCTTGATGTTGCCATTGAAATTGGCACTCATCTGGTCCGTATTTCCCGGGGGCTCAATCTATGCCCCTCGTTTCTTTTTTCAAAGTCTGCCAGAGAGTTAGTACCCTTGGACTTTGCTTCTCTCGGAGAAGAACAGTATAATGTGCCTTTTACACTTCAGGAACTGGAGGCAACACTCTCAGCTTGCCGATCATCGGCAGCTGGACCTGACGACATTCATATTCGTATGTTACAACATTTACATCAGTCAGCCCTTGTAGTCCTCTTACACCTCTTCAATCTTACTTGGGCACAAGGAGTTCTTCCCCAGCTGTGGAAATCTGCCGTTGTTCTCCCTTTCCGCAAACCGGGTACCACAGGACATGATGCCTCCCACTATCGTCCCATTGCTCTTGCTAGTGCAGTTTGCAAAGTGATGGAACGTCTGGTAAATCGCCGTTTAATGTATTTAGAGACACGCAACAGTCTCTCCGCTAGTCAATATGGCTTTCGTAAGGGCTGTTCTACCATAGACCCCTTACTACGCTTGGATACGTATGTTCGTAATGCCTTTGCAAATAATCACTCAGTTATTGCCATATTTTTTGACCTTGAGAAGGCATATGACACAACTTGGAGGTATAATATTTTGGCCCAAGCCCACTCCTTAGGCCTCCGAGGCAATCTACCATCCTTCTTTAAGAACTTTTTAACTGACAGACACTTACGTGTTCGAGTCAATAATGTGCTTTCCCCGGACTTTGTCCAAGCTGAAGGTGTCCCTCAGGGATGTGTTCTGACCACAACATTTTTTCTCCTTGCTATAAATGATTTGGCCTCTGTTCTTCCACCCAATATTTGGTCATCACTCTATGTTGATGACTTCGCTATTGCTTGTGCAGGCGCTGACTGTCATCTCATTGCAGTTTCTCTCCAGCATGCGGTCGACCGTGTTTCCACTTGGGCCACCACGCATGGGTTTAAATTTTCCAGTACCAAAACTCGCCAAATTACTTTCACTAGACGCTCTGTCATCTCTGATCATCCTTTGTATCTCTATGGCACTCGTATCCCCGAACGTGATAGTCAGGTTTCTAGGCCTTCTCTTTGACTGTAGGTTATCCTGGAAACCTTACATTACCTCTCTGAAGGCAACTTGTCACAGCCAGCTAAACCTTCTTAAAACCCTTGCTCATCTTTCCTGGGGAGCTGATTGTCGAACTCTGCTTCGCCTACATTCAGCCCTCGTTTTATCGAAACTTGATTATGGTGACCAGATTTATTCAGCGGCCTCTCCTGCTACTCTCTCTAGCCTTATCCCCATCCATCACCAAGGATTACGTTTATGCCTTGGTGCTTTTCGCTCTTCCCCTGTTGAGAGCCTCTATGCAGAAGCGAATGTTTCATCCTTGTCTGATCGCCGTGATGCCCAATGCCTTCGCTACTATGTACGCTCTCAGGATCTCCACAATCCTTCCATTTATAGAATGGTCACCGATATTAGTAGACATTCTTTATTTGTTCTCCACCCCTGTTTGCTCTGTCCCTTTTCTCTTCGCCTACATTCGCTCTTGTCTTCCCTTCAGTTACCACCTTTATATGTTCATGTAGCATCTCACTTTTCTCTACCCCCCTGGGAAGTTCCAGCTGTTCGGGTCTATTCTTTCTCACTCCCTTGCTCGAAAGCCCAACTGCCTACGGTGGCTTCCCGCTCTCTTTTTCTTGATCACTTCCATTCTCATTCTCATGCCATCGCTTTGTACACAGATGGCTCTAAGTCTTCAGACGGTGTCGGATTTGCAGCAGTGTTTCCGGACAGCGTCGTGCAAGGGCATTTACTATCTTCGGCTAGCATTTTTACTGCTGAATTGTATGCCATTCTTGTAGCACTTATTCGTATCGCATCTATAACTGTGTCATCATTTGTGGTAGTCTCAGACTCCCTTAGTGCTCTACAGGCTGTACGAAAATTTGATACATCTCACCCCCTAGTTCTCCGTATCCAACTTTGGCTATGCCGTATCTCTACCAAGCATAAAGATATTGTTTTTTGTTGGGTCCCTGGTCATGTCGACGTACAGGGCAATGAACAGGCAGACACTGCTGCGCGGTCAGCAGTACATGACCTACCAATTTCCTATAGAGGTGTTCCATTTCTGGACTATTTTGCTGCAATAGCTACCCACCTTCACACCCATTGGCAACAACGTTGGTCAACTCTGCTCGGTAACAAACTTCATTCTATTAAACCGAGCATAGGTTACTGGCCGTCTTCTTGTCATCAGTGCCGAGGTTGGGAGACCACTCTCTCCCGCCTTCGCATTGGCCACACTCGTCTTACTCATGGGTATCTCATGGAGAGGCACCCTGTTCTGTGAACAGTGTCAAGTTCCAGTATCGATTAGCCACATTCTGTTAACTGCCCTCTCTATCAACGAGCACGCAGAATTTACCTCCAACGTCGTCTTCGTTTTACTACTCTCTCTTTACCTTCCCTTCTTGCTGATGGACCCTCCTTTAATCCTGACTCTCTCATTGACTTCTTGACAACGACTGATTTACTCCACAAACTCTGATGATGATAACTTTTGCACTCCCCTCAGCCCTTTTTAGTTCAGTCTCTTGCTGCCCTTTACCCTTTCACCATCCACTGTCCCGCTGTTATCCGTAACCTATTTCTCATCCATCTCCCTTTTGCCACCTGATGCCCTCGCTTCCTTCCTGCCCTGCAGCGCTGTATAGCCCTTGTGGCTTAGCGCTTCTTTTTTATTGTAATAATAATACCCATCCTTGTCTCTGAACCTCGAGTTGATATTTCACAGAGCATCTTCAACAGAATAGGTAGTATTATTATTACAGTCAAAACTTAAGTGGCAAACCCACGAAGGTCTCAAAATTAGGTAGAAAAAAATATTTTTTCAAAAATTGATACTGGAGAACTTGCTTGGGTTTTTTGGATGTTGTTGGAACGCAATCCAATTTTTTCCTATACACTACGTTCTTTACTAAGTCATAAATCCTAGGTAGTACAGATTTCAAGAATGTAACCTTTGCAAATTATAAATTTCCACTGTGCATAATGTTTTTAAGGTAATTTAGGAATACATTCAGGTTTAATGCTTAGTGTGATTATATTATGACTATAATAGGAATACATTTAAAAAAAAAAAAGTGTACACGAGCATGAACAAATACCCTTTATTGCATTAATTTTATGAAAACTTATAAAATTATAAAACATGTAGTCACATACAAATACTGTATTAATTTAAAAAGCTGTGTATACTTTTCAACCAAGTAATACCATATAAAAATGCAGTGATATATATATATTACATATAATTACCAAATTATCTGGATTAAGTGTGATACATACATTTTGTGATGTCACAGTAGTTGTCATTTCCAATGTACTTTTAAATATATTTACTTTAAGTTCAAAAAATTTCTCATACTGGATGGTAGGGAAAGAAAATACTTTTAATTCCTCTGGGGAGAAACTGGCAGATTTTTTTTCTGTAAGTACATTTCTCTTCAAGGCTCCCCTGCCAGTTGTCAATACTAGAGGTGGTACCTCCCTATTTTATACATGTACAATACATTCCCCTTAACCCGTAAACGGTCCAAGCAGATCTACGTTCACATGTGTAGTGCTCCAAAAGTAGATCTACGTTTTTTTGACATATTTTCAAATATAACAAAAAAAAAAAAAGAATCGAAGATTTTTTACACATTTTCAAATGTAAAAAAAAAAAATACTTTTTTTACATACTTTCAAATGTTGAAAAAACGTATATATACGTTTGGACCGTTTACGGGTTAAGGGAGGTTTCTTGATGCTGATAAGGGGCTCTTGGTCCAAGGAATTAGACAACCTTACTGTGTGTATATATATTTAGCATTTTTTTTTTATTGTTATTTTAGCATTATTGCTATACAGACTGTGTTAATATATTCCATATTTTCTTTGTAACCAGTGAGAGGTAAGCTTTGTACACATTTCTCTGTTGACCTATGTACACACACCCGAGGGAACCCTCAACTGAACGTGGTTTATATAAAACAAGATTGGACGGAGAAAGACTGTAGCTTTATAGATGAGAATCTTGTTAAACAGGAAGTCACAAGTGATATGAAGACTTACAGATTTAATGCCCCCTCAGTGAATGTAATAATATTTATGAATATAATGATAATTATATTCATGTCCTTGATGTTGAAAGGCTCTTGCTCTTAAATTTAGGGTGAAGTGCTTAACCCACAGGGGGCGAGGGGTTATATAGCACTACGAGAATGTTAAGTAATCAGGTTTGATCCAGGAAAGGAAAGAACAGGGCCAATTCCAGCATCGAGAAACTTTCCCTGAGGGGGTCCTGATCTTAAGAAATTTCAGTTACTCCTTCATTGGATCTAATTACCTCCCATTCCCCATGTACTGCTGTAAGAGGTTTAGCATTTCCCCATGAAATATAACTATAATTATATGCATGTAAATAGTTTCAAAAAATTGAGCAGGTACAGTTTCATACAATTCCAAAGAGAAAAGCCTATGGCAGTATACCTCCATATTTGCAGTGTAATTCTATATCTGGATTTATTTTCTGGTGAAGGATATGCATATATAAAAGAGAAAGTGCCACACAGCAGCCAGGTAAGCCAACAAATGCTAATTACTTAACTCAATGATTTTACAGAATAATGCCTTTACTGTTAGCACTTAGTTAAAAACCTTTTGTATATTTGTTTGACAGAACTGTATGACCCTTATGGGTTTGGAGTTTGATTTGTTATTAATATCTTAAACAATTTAAATTTTCAAGGTTCATAACATGACTAGCATAAGATACAAATTTAATGTGTGAACTGGACCTCTCCACTTGTTAATATGGTGCAGAAATTAAATTCCAAGATAATTTTATGTGAAGTACACTACTCAACTGGTGAGATTTTGCTCTACTCTTATAAACTGAAAACATTTAGGTCTCAAATGTCATCTGTGCAGATTCTTACAGACACTAAACAGAATAATTGCTGGCTTATTGCATAGATTTCTTCGTTGTAAGAAATTGCCTCACGGTAAATTCCCTAGTGTTGATAAGTTGTCCTTAGATTCAAGGGACTGAATGCCTCCTATACCCCAGGGTTTAGCACTTCATTATAATTAATGCCCCTTTTGGGTTTAGCACTTACCTTGATTATAATGTAAATTGTTTGATAGTCGAGAGACCACTCCAAAATTGGGTGCCATTTATTAGTTGTGGTATCTTGGGTTCTATCATACCTACTCTTAATACTATTCTGAGCACACTTAATGTAAAACGTTGCTGGGGAGTCTGTTGGTTTTATATTTATGGTCATTCGAGAATTGCAACAGTAAACTTAAACAGCATAAATTAACAACCCCTGTAAATTTCATACTATGACAGTTTCACCATTTGTAGATTGAAGATGGTTACCTGAAGGCAGCGTTGTCTCCAAGGTACTGGTGGAAACTGCAGCTGACAGTGTGTCTGTGGAGGTGTTGTGGAGAGTTGAGGTGGAGAGGGCAAGGTTGTCATAAGCATGTTGGGGCAAATCGCTGCTCTCGTCTGGGCAGGTGGACTCAGATGGCTGGCGGACCCTTAAAGGCCGAGGCTGAAATTCGGGGGGATTCACTATGTCCTCAGTAGGACCCTTTGATGACATATTCACAGATGACCGGTTTGTCCTCGGGCTGTGGTGGTTACTCTGAGTGAGAAAACCAGGATTTTTAGATAAAAAGAAAATGGTCATAATTGATAGATAGGGACCGGGAAGTGTGTTAACCGAATCCCATGTTCCCCTAGCATCTGGTGGACCTGCCATCTGTTCTCCCTTGTGATGGGGCTAGTGTTAACCATCTGGGGTTTCAATATGAGCAACAGTAACATGGCTAAATCCCTAGCAACATCATTGGTCAAAATTAGAATGCGACTTTTTGTCAGTAACTGCTTTATTATATTTTCTCTTTAGCGCTCCACACTACCCTTACTGGCTGCCTTTTACATACTCCTAATCCTCACTGGTATCTGATCTTTGCATATTTCATCTTTAGTATATCCGATCCCACAATGCTGTATGACCCTTGTGGGTTTGGCACTTAGTTTTGATTGTAATAATATTCAGCGAGGGGAGAAAACCTTGTGCATCAAATATCTTGACAGACTAGCTAGACAAACTAATTCCTTTCAGAGGATAGCCTCGATAGACAGGTTTGGTATCTTATTTTTTTTTCTCCACATGTTATATATAGTGCATACTAAACATTCAAGTGTTCCCACACTTACCTGGTAATTAGCGATCCTGACTACAGTGGAGTTGTGATCAACACCGTTGCAGGGTTTGTTTGTCACTTCCTTTGTGTCACACTTGTTTTTGAAGAGCACTGGAAGGCGAAACTTGGGAAGCGAGTTGGTGAAATAAAGGAAGAGGCCCACCATGGCGACGAAGAGCAACAGTACCAGGACCAGTAGTACACCAGTCATAACTCGCAACTCGCTAACTGCTGTTTCCATTGCTGCCAGTCCTGAGGACATATCAATCATAGTTTCAATGTCTTTTATATCTTAGTTCTCCCCTTCACAAGGATTGCCGTCATGCTGATGAAAGGTTCATTATTTTTATCGTCAAAACTAAGCGCTAAACCCACCAGGGTCGTACAGCAATGAAAATTTCATGATCCAAAATGTTGTAATTACCCTCCTATTCCTCGGATTAAACCTAATTACCTCGTATTCGAGTACTGCATGATCCTAACAAGTTTATTAACCATTCCTCTCAAGGGAGGTTCCTTGACGCTCTTGATCTAGGGAATTTTATCTGCTCCAGTTCCCCGAATTAAACCTGAATACCTTCCATTCCCCCCCCCCCCTCCATAGGTGCTGTATAATCCTATGGGTTTAGCGCTTCCCCATAATTTTATAAGAAGTTGAACTAAGATTAAAAAACTTCGTTGAAATAAATAAATAAATATATATATATTATATATATATATACATATATATATATATTTTATATATATATATATATATATATATATATATATATATATATATATATATATATATATCGATCTGTGCTCCAGTTCCCCGAATAAGCCTGAATGCCTTCCACATCCCCCCCCCCCCCCGGCGCTGTATAATCCTCTGGGTTTAGCGCTTCCCCCTTGATTATAATAATAATATATATATATCCTTGTGGCTTAGCGCTTCTTTTTGATTATAATAATATATATATATATATATATAGGGAGGTACCACCTCGAACTGGCCTAGGGACCCTCATCCCTGAAATGCTGGTGATGGGCTATTCATTCATGGATTTGGACTTCACCCCCTTTCCCTTGAATCGATTTTTAATGCCTCCTATTCCCTAGGTGGTGTGAGATCCCCTACAGATTTAACACTTTCCCGTGATTAAAAAAATCCCTTGTTACGCTGATTGCTTTATATGGAGTTGGGGGGGGGGGGGTAAAAGGCATTGAATGGCTATATTAGAAAAAGACGTCTAGTTATTATAGGAACCTCTCGCTCTTTTTAGCTCCCTCCCAGCACACCACTTAACTACTCAAACTGCTAATTTGGTGTAGGGAGGCTCCCTGGTGCGGGTCTTGGTCAAATGACCAGCTCATTGCTAAAGTGTATGACATGTAAGTTTAGCGCTTGGTTTTGATTATAATTTAGTTGAGTATGTGCCAGTCTTTTTCGAAAATAATCCTGTGTGACTGAGTATATCAGAAAAAATATCCTGCCTGATTGGAAGTCCATCGTGTGATAAAGTATGAGGGGGGACTATTCTGCGTGATAGGAAAATCATGTCACGAAAAAAAAAAATTACACGACTGGAAAACCATCCTGTGTGGTATTAGATTAGCAGTTCTTCCTCTAACCTAAAATGTCTTGTAAATACTGTGCATCTAATTTTGGTAATACAAGATGTATTATGCAGGAGTGTACCGTGTTTGAGACCACCGGCACTATCAACTGACTCTGATGGCAATTAATATGTTCAGTGATACTGTAGCGAGAGAGGACAAGTGAAACAAAAACAGGTTAGAGGAATGTTGTAAGATGGCGGATGAGTCAGGTGTTGGTGGGTAGGTGGGTGCGCCTGCCCGCTGGCCTACTGCTTCCAATGATCCAAGGAATTGATGAATAAGACATGAGCAACACGATGGGGGTGGAGGGGGTAATCTAAATATATGAGAATGATTAAATTAATGAAAATCACTAAAGCGGTGGGGGTATCAATTAGCAGTGCACGGTAAGTGCAGAAGAACTAAATAGTTACGAATAACCACGATGGAAAAATAAGAAATTTAGGGTGGGCGCCTTAAATCAGCTGTTATTTAAACCCTTAGATGTGAAATTTTTAGATATGGTCAGATTATTACACGAGGAAACACTAGACCTTTAATTGTCATAGAACACCTGGGTAATGGGAAATAATCGGGTTTGATCCAAGGAAGATGACAGCTCCGATTACTTGCACACAGGTTTTCACCATTAATGCACTGTTCTTGATCAGCGAGGGCAAAGTAAGCTTGTCAGGGCGTTGAAGGTGAGGTTGAAAATAAAGCGGACGTGATCTCTAATAAATGTTGCAATCACTCACAAAATGTTGGAGTGGCAACATGATATGGCAGTTCTCACCAGACTCTCCTTTCTATGAGCTGGCCATGACTGAGGTCTGGTGTGACCAATACGCAGTGGCAAGAATGCCGCCAATACAAAAACACACATTGTAGAATAATCTTTTATTGGAACAAAGTTTCGCTCTGTGTAAAGCTTTATTATTACCAAACCTAAGCGCTAAACCACCAGGGGTGTAAAACTATAATTTGATTAAAACCCCTTTGTTTACCACTTCAGACCAATGACAGCCAAAGATCTTAACAAGTGCCGACTCAGGACTGGGATACAGTCGAAAAAGGACCCCAATGGAAATAAGTCAGTTTGACTTTTCTGAATTATCCTAATTAATCTACGCACGTGTTGCTACGTATGATAATTTATATAACTATTTGTGTACATATACCTGAATAAACTTACTATCGCTTGTGAACTGCGGTACGCGCAGAGAAGTTACATGGATATTATAGCCTTACACACCTTCAAACAGATAGTGATGATGGTTATTTTATTAAAAAAGCGCGATACCCGTGTGTGTCACGCAGCTCTAAAAATTGATGCTGGTGAAGGGCTTATGATCCATGGAATTAAAGCTAGTCATCCCTTTCTCGGATCAGAACTAATTTCCTCCCATTCCTCAAGCACAATGACCCCCATGAGCAGCGCTGTATGACCCTTGTGGTTTAGCGCTTCTTTTTTATTATAATAATATGACCCCCATGAGTTTAGCAATTCCCTATAAATATAATTTTGTATTTTCTGAAGATTCGATACAGCCAAAGGCTTAATGTAAATGACATGGAGAAGTGAAGAACCGCTGGTCTACATAACTTATAATATAATGTAAAAGGTTTATAAAACCGATATGTTGAAGAATTAGACACTTTTGCAACATTTGGGAATCTATTGTGTAAGCGCCTCGCCAAAGAGTGGCTTCCTTAGTCCGGTACAGAGACGAATGGTAGAAGATGAGAATGAGTAATCAGTCCCTCAACCTATAGTCTGTAGATGAATGGTTCAGAGAACCGACAAGTTGATAAATTAAACACATGGGCAACACTTGGGTATCTTTAATGAGGAAACGTTTCGCCACACATCACCTTGGGATCTTAATACAGGAAATTCTTCACTTGCCTAACCCTTGGGCATGACCTACTTCCACATTGGACAAATGTGATACTATCTACGACTGCTTCACCTCTCCTGCCTACAGTATATAAGCCACTTCCTACATATGCTGTATTCTTCTCAAGATTGATGGACTGATTACTTCAAACACCTATTCTTCACCATTCTCCTTTGTATGGGCTGATAAAGCCACTGTGTGGCGAAACGTTTCTTCATTAAAGATACCCAAGTGTTGCACATGTGTCTAATCCATAGTCTGTGTTCACCACTTTTCTCCAGACTGATGAATTGAATACATCGACTTAAAGCTAAGGGACTAATTACCTCAAACTAATCTTCCACCATTTATAATGTACCGGACTGAAGAAGCCACTTGGCGAAATATTTCATCAATCAAGACTTCCAAATCGTACAAAAGTGTCTAATTCACCACTTGAATTTAGGTAGTCTTAAGAACATAAATGATGAATTAAATACACATTAATATTATAATCAAAACTAAATGCTAAACTCACCAGTAATTACTTACACATATAACCCGTACATAGGAGAGAGAGAAAAGCTTACGATGACATATCGGTCCAACTTGGACCATTTACAAAGTCACACAACACATAAGAGTTCATGTCCATTTAAGTTCATGTAGTCATCTCTATGTGGTGACCCCTAAGTGGCTTCCAAAGAAGTGTTGGAGTTTGTACAAGTGATGTACCGTTTTCAGCTCTATGACAAGGGCAGGGCGAGTTTTCTTCAGGTCAAGTGGAGTACCGCTTACAGCCCTATGGCGGGGGCAGTCCTATGACAAGTGCGCGGCGAATCTTGCAACTCCATTTCAGCCATTCCTGGCACTCAGGTCAGGCCGCAACCCAAGTGCCAGAATGACTTAGAGATTCTCTGAAGGTGTATTAATACCTGCCGTGTTGTGGATGGTCTTGCTAAGCTTCTGATTGAGTAATGATGTTCATGTAGGTTTGCCAGGAAGGGTCCTGACACGGTTTTTCTCCATTTGGTGACCTGACAGTGGTTCCTGAAGGGATGTCGGCGTTTGTAAAAGTGATGCACCATTTACAGCCCTATGGCAGCGATACGGTGAGCATTCTTGTCAAGTGGAGTACCACTTACAGGACTGTGTGAGGAGCCAGTATATATATATAGGTGAAGGGGACAGGGACAAGCCCAAGAGAGGAAGAAAAAGTAGTAATGGTAAGGCTGGTAATGGAAGAAGTGATAGTGGTAGTAGAAAGTAGGGAGAGTAGCTTAGTGGCACAAGAGAGAAAGAGGAGTGAAGGGTGAAGGGAGGCAATAGTAATGGTAGTATAAATGGAGTGGTAGTCGTAGCAGTAGAAATGGGATCAGTTTAAGGGTAAGAAAAGGGGGCACTTCAGGAGAGCTAAGGGCCCATAAAGGATAGGACCAATAGCACAAGGGGGAAAAACTTAGGTAGAAGAAAGGAAGACAAAGACAGAAAATGAAAAAAATAGGAAAGGAAAAGAGATTGGGGAGGACGAGAAGAAAGGATGAGGTTAGGTCACGAATGTTCTGAAATTTGGAGCATTTGACAATGTTATGAGAGAGGAAAGCATCAACAGAGACAAAGCCACGACTAGGATTAATACATGGAAAGTTGTGTATAAGAGATGCTTCAACAAGAGAGAGACTGTGAAGGCGTCTTGTTGCAGCATCCCTTTTACACAGCTTTCTTTGTGCAAATCTTAGTCCTGGCTCTGTTGACTCATTCCTTTTTCATTACACTGTCAAATGCTCCAAA